TTATAAAATACAATAGCCATACTGTATATGTATATGTTGTATATTAAATATGTATTATTGTACTATTATTCTATACAAATTTAAAATTCAAGTTTTATTTATTTATTTATTTATTTTTATAGTATACTTGTCACATCCCGGGCTTGACTCCTCCATAGCACGATATTGTCTGCTTTAGGCCTCGAGCATGCCTTCACGGTTTTGTTTCTAAGAACTCTCACAAGAACTTCCCAGTGGGTCACCCATCCTGGGAATGCTCTCACCCCTTTCTCGCTTAACTTCGGAGTCCGATGGAACCCGAAGCCAGTGAGCTCCCAAAATGCCCAACAGCTAAAACCTGGAAGAGCGTAAAAACAAAGGTGAGTGGACCTGAAAATAAAGTTTTTAATAAAAACCTTTTGGAAAACATTATGACCTCTTGCCGTAAAACCCATATAATTTCTTAGAAAATAATAATACATACGTATATAGAAATCATGCTCGAGAGTAGTGAAAACAAAGTATATGCCATGTCAATTATCTCAGCAATGAAATAAGTAAGCCAGATGAAATAAATCAATGTAAAATGATATGCCAGCTGGAGTCACCCAATGTGACCTGTACGGCTCTAAACCTGCACACGAGTCGAAACCACCTAATGTGGTCTATACGACAGGCTGGGTGTAAATAAATACGCTCAAGTGCTACGATCACGTGGAGGCTGTGCGAAGTATCACAAGTCACCTACGAGTCGGAACCACCTAATGTGGTCTGTACAACAGGCTGGCACCTGCTGGATCCAAGGTGAGCGTTCGGTGTGGGAGGTGAACGATCACGTGAAGGCTAGGCCCTGATCTCGGGCATAGCACTAATATCGGGGTGCAAGATAATAAATACCAAATGCATTCAGGCATAACCATATACATCACAACCACTAACATCATAATGTCCTCACCTGTAGCTTACCTGGGCTCTGCAGCATCATGTAACATTATACATGACTACACCAATGCATATACTAACATATAACACAAGTATGACATGGCATTTCAATCACACTTCATTTAAAACAATTTTTGGGGAAAACGTAAAGTATACATACGTGTGTATATATATATATATATATATATATATATATATAGAAAACCAAAAGCCCACTCAACTGGAGTCCGCACTACAACTCCCTAGCACAACATCAAGGTGTCACAAACGATCGGCGCCTAGAACAATTATCAAATCATGTCTTAGAATTCTTATCAATAGAACATATAACATACATGTCCTAATCGGGAAGATCCGTATGTCCGATTCCCGATTCGTAAGTTTCTAATATCCTCAAATATTACGTATTATAATGTATCAAAGTTTGATGACGATCCAACGGTTGGATCGTCGATTGCTATAATAATCAAGCGGCGGACTTTCATGGAGCTACGTTCAAATGATGAAAATTCGTTAATCGGATTTCACCAATGGAATTAGAGTATTCAAATTTAACCTAAGAAGGTCAGGGGAAGTCTCGGCCCATGCGCCGCCCCGACTTGCCTGAAAGTTCAACTATTTCTAAAAATTCTCAAACTTCACAGAAATGAAGATCTCAATGATTAGAGCAACTTTCAAGTTTAAATTTATTCACATTTTCCACATCATTATACTTTATAGGCTCGTCACCTTCCAGGTGTCAGCTAGCACAACTCGATTTAGAGTCATAGTGGATATTCCGGGTCGGGGTGTGTCAATACTATAGGCAAATAGTGAGATTAAAAATTATAAAACACATTAAAAATAAAAATATCAAGTAATTTAAAAATACCAAACACATTAAAAATAAAAATATCAAGTAATTTATAAATACCAAACACATTTGAATGGTTTACAATGTTTGTTTGTTTGTTTTTTTTTATTTTTATTTTTTTATGTTTTATTTTTTATTTTTATTATTTTAATTTTTTTAATGCTTAGTTTATGTGACAGCCCGTTCCGGATTTTAGAACCATAAGGGTGAAATGACGACTTTGCCCCTATTATGGTTGTTTCGTTGTGTGGTTGTTTTTGGGTTTTGTTTTGCTGGTTTTGGACCACAAACACTTTCCCACACCCCCTTACCCATTTCCCTGTCCCGTATCCCTGTCTCTTTCCCTCTCTCTCTCTCTCCTATTTCTATCCCCATATGTACGGACATACCCAAAAACCATTGAAACCTTCACAGATCGAGGAAGCAAATTACATATTCGTGCTCGTGAGGTCCTTGGGAGTTCAACCATACCCATTTCAGGTAAGGATACCTTCGTTTTCACGTTGAACTCGAGATACCCCGATTTGGTCACTGTTCATGCACACGTTAATTCTTGTGTTTTTGGGAATTTCAAGCTTGTAGGAAGCTTGGTGAGGTCCTTAGGAGGCTCAGGGTGGTTCGTTTGAAGGTTTTGGATGTCGGGATCGTGAGTTTCAAGCTTGGCCCAAGTTGGTGGTGTTTTCCCAGCGAGATTCCGTGTGTTTTAGTTCTTGAAAGCCATATGGATTTGTTCCCCTTGTTGTAGGCTTCATTTTGGTACCAATTTTGTGAAATTTGGTTGAAAAACGAAGAAGATACAAGGTTTTGAAGTTTTCCCGGTTTTCCGGCGCCGGCGACGGCGCCAGAGTTTGGCCGGAGAAGACGACGAAATATTCTATCAGTTTGGACGGAATATCCCTAACGGCGTTAGCGGAATCCGTCAGATTTAACGGAATATTCCTGACGACGTTAACTGACGCCGTCAGTGTGCCAGGCACATGCCTGCGCGTTGGTGGCGCGTGTGGCCGTGCCTTGGCCGACGCGTGGGGGCGCGTACGGTGTTAGAAATTTTTTCTAAAAATATGGGGATGTTCTTGAGGTTGAGTAGATCACGTTGGTGTATTCATACACCCTATTTGAGCATTGTATGAGAAGTTATTTCGTGATGTTGGTTATGTGCTTTAAAATTAACGTTTTTATAGTTGTTTCGCATATAGGTGAGACCTATCCCGAGGTCGAGCGCGGTCACTCAAGGCAAGGGGGTTATGACCCTTCTACATACTAGTGAGTGGGCTTTTGGTTTTCCGTATATACTTATATACTTATGCTTTTCCCAGAAAGTGAAATGAAACGTTTATATGTTTATATGCCATGCTTATTATTTGCCATTTATTTACGCATTATTAGTCGCAGATATATATATATATATATGTTTGGTGCTGCGGACGCACAGGTAAGTGCCAGGTGAGTTATGATTTATGTTTATGTTAAGTAGAGAGCTCATAACCTGTACCCCCGGTGTTAGTGCTCCAGCCCAGAGTTGGGCACAGTCCTTCACGTGATGTTCACCTCCCGAACCACACTCTCATCTTGGATCCAAGTTAGGTGGACAGTCCTGTCGTACAGACCACTTTAGGTGGTTCCGACTCGTAAGTGACCCGCGATTAGTCGCCCAGCCTTCACGTGATCGTAGCACTTGAGCGTATTTATTATACACCCAGTCCTGTCGTGTAGACCACCCTAGTTGGTTTCGACTCATGTGCAGGTACAGTTAGTGAGGTGGAGATCTGAGCTCTAGATTCAGTCGTACAGGTCACGTTAGGTGACTCCGGCTGATAGATTACATGGCATTGATTTAACATTACCTGAGCACTGCTTTTGGCATGGCATATTTCTGAGCATGACTTATGTATATGTATATTCTATTTTTTTGGGAAGTATACAGGTTTTACGGCGAGGGGTTAGAATCTTGTTTATGAAATGGTTTTTGAAAAGCTTTGTTTTTGCCCACTCACACTTTTTGTTTTGCGCCCCTCCAGGCTCGCACTTTTGGCGGCTCCCTAGAGGATTTCCCCGGCATATCTGACAGATTATCACCAGTGTAGGACCACCTTTGGGTGTGTTTTTGTAGTGTTATTTCTCCCGGACTGCATTAGGTCTTCAAGCTCTGAATTTTGTTTTTCACACTTACGCTTGCACATGTATGTTCTTACTTTGTGTAAAGCTGGTTTTTATTTATTCGTACTTTTATTATTATTTTATTAGCTTCCGCACTGTGCACTTGGTTACGTCACTTCCACGTGACGGCCAGCATGCCCTGATCTCGATCGGGGTGTGTCAGTTTATGTGAAAAATAGTGCTATGTGAAAAGCCTTAATGAAAACATCGTCAATGTAACTCCTGAAGACAATATTTCAACCCAGAATTCCAATACCATTTCTCTTGGTGATTGATGAAACTTGAAAGGTTCTATTGTCAAAAACATGCAAGGTTAGCGCAACTTCCTTCATTTTGCATATCCTTGAACATTTGGTATTTTGTGTAATGTACTAATGTCTTTTCTTTAGGATCTTATTTTGGGGAAAGTAATAGTTGAAAGATTAAATTTTTTATTTAATTTTTTATTATGTTTTAAGTAATATTTATGTGACAATGTGGTATGCAGATACTAATTTAGTATTATGTTTTCTATTTTTATTTTATTTTTGGTCAAATTAAGTTTTTCATTTTCATTATTTATTGATTTAAAATATATTTTCTTTAATGGGTAATAAGTCGGGTTGGGTTATATTACCTTAAAATACTAACAGATCGATTTCGGGTCAAGCCATATTACCTGTTTACTTTAAGGGGTATTACACGACCCGTTAAGATATTGAGTATGTCACGAAAACGACACGAACACGGAAAACACGACATGAACGCCAAGTCTAGTTGGTATTGATTTTAAGGGGTTTAAATTTGGGACTTAGAAAATTATATCGTAGGAATTGGGACGAAAGTGACCCTAGAATTAAGCTAGTTTATGTGGATATAAAGAAATAAGTGCAAGAAGGTGGATGATCAAGTAGTAGTATGGTATCAAGAGAAAGTTCAAATCAACACCTATCCTCTTTCTACTTTCGCTAACCAAGCAACATCCATCTCCACAATAAAAAATATAAAATAAAAAACTTTATCAAGAAGTCCACAGAGAATTGCCTATATATACACCCGTCCAATAAACTGCAAATTAACAAAGAAGAACATGGCTTCTATGCTTGGAATTCTTACTGAGTGGCCATGGAAATCTCTTGGAAGCTTTAAGGCACTTTCTTACCTAATTATTGTTCCATATCTCTCTCTCTCTCTCTCTCTCTCTCTTTCTTTCTCTTTTGAATTCCTATATATACATTCATGCTATATATTGGACTGCATGCTTATACAGTGGGTTAGGGTTTAGTCATTGAACATTATATATCATTAGCTTTGTCATGATACATTTTTATTTGTGTGTTATTGTTGACCCTAAAACCCAACCTACATGGCGTGCAGGCCTAGTAATTAGTAAGCTAACTATGTCATTCGGTTATGTACAGGGCGTGCCAACTCGTCGGTTGAGCTCGACCAGACAGTAAAATATGTTAATGTTTTGTTGGGCGCGCTACTGACTTCTTGATCTTGCGACTGCGGCTGAGGAAGGAGCACGCCTCAGCCTTCGGGTTATAGAGCCTGAAGACAAGGCTGCTAATCTTGTGAAGTTCACGGATTGTCGACACCGGGTTCAGTCACCATGATTATATTCATGAGAATATAAGCATACCGAACTGGCACTAAGCTATACGAACACAAGTACTCGAAAAAGATGAATGTCTTGATGGTGAATGTGGTTCGGCCGTCAGAATGCCAAACTCTAAAACTTACTTATGGATATCCAATCATAAACAACTCATCGTTCAATATGTCGAGCCCAGTAACTTGTAACACCTCACTTCGCCAAGAAGGCTAATGAGATAACCTTTGTCAATAGGGACTCGAAAATCCTTCTTAACCAAGACTTGGATAGATAACCAATCGACCTCGACGCAGTGCTGTTTATCCAAACTGTAGGTGTTCCGCGGTCGGCTGATTTTATGGCAGTAGTGTTGTTTATCCAAACTGAAGATGTCACCAATTGCCTTCACAGTGCTGTTTATCCAAACTGAAGATGTGTTGGTAGAAAAAGAAAACAAAAATCTCAAGGTTATTGAGAGGTTTCGTGTAAAGCGAGAGTTGGCATAGGGCAGTTTGTGTGTTGAATTAGAGGGAGCTCAAATGATACATTGCCCCTTATATTTATAGCAGTGAACCTACTCCTGGCCGAGTTAAAACCATGCTCGGATTAGGACTCCTTATCCTGATCTAACTAGGACTCGACTAATCCTAATTTAATTAGGACTTTGAACCCACCTCCATAATGAACTAGATTCATTCCCTGACTCTCAGTGCCTTCAGCTCTAACACCTCAGGTGGTATAAGGATTTAACCTTCGTCTTTATCCAAATCAATCATTCTCACAAAAAGACTCGACCAAAACTGACTAGACAACTCCTAGTGCCTAGCCAGCCTATGATACCCTAGAAGACCGCTGGACCAAGAGTCTCTACCCATTTTGTTACTCTCAGCCTAAATTGTCATTTTGGGCCCAAACATTGCCCCTTTGCTTCTAAGGTCTTCGGCCTATAGCTCTTTGGCCGAGTTTCTACCCTGAAGAAGTGAAATTAAACCCTTAATGTATCTTTGGACGACAACGAAAAGTCCCACATATTCCATCCACTCAGGTGTATTTATGAAGCACGATCACATGATCGTAATTTTGTCAGATGCTCTGCCATGTGGCGACTCCTTAACCTACTCTTTTGCCATTAATAATGACCCTCGAAACATGCAACCATTGAAACGTCCCTTCACCATTAAACCCGCTGTCATACACAAACATGCATCCTTAAACCACGAAAACCTCGGTCCCTTTACCTGGATCTTCTGAATATCCATCATGATTATCAAATTCTTCGGTCGATTCTACCCCCTATTTAGAAAATCAAACAATTGATCTTCCTCCCAGAATGCCTATAAATACCCGACTCTGCTTTATTCATATTTTACGCTTTCAAAACCCTTGAATCTCATGCCGTTTGCTATTTCAACCTAAAAAATCTCAAAATCCAGAAAACTCCCAAACCCAGAAAAATCCTTGAATCTTCAACAATGGTTTCCAACACTTTTATCACCAAGCTTTTTGCGGAGTGTACCAAGTGTAAAGACTTCATTAACCGAAACCCTATCAAAACCTTACGGTTTGAAGGTGATTCAATTGCTTCCCACCAGATATTGGGACCTCTTTTCAAGGATGTCGTCCCAAAGACCATTACTGAAATGCTCAAAGCCCACTGCTTGAAACCCTTGTTCCAAGGGTATGATTGGTCAAAGTGGGATTTGGCCAGGCCTTAAGGAGCCTGGCCCTCGAACCCTGCACCCTGGGCAGCTTGGGTCGAACGAATGGAGAAGTTTTTCAGCACAGAGTGGAAAACTCTTGGCATTTATGATATTATCAAGCTATCGACTATTAAGATTGTCATGGACTAGGAGCTTCTCACGATAGCTTTGAGTTTTTGGTGCTCAGTCACTAACATAATGGTACTCCCCTTCAGCCCCATTGGTCTTACCGTGCTCGACATATGGGCCATCCTCGGTATTTCTCCATCTGGTCTTCCCGTTGATACCATCCTTCATGGGTATCAATTCGACTTAGACATTAAATCATTATTCGACGAGCGTGCTGTCGAAGCCCTAAAGAAGAATTACCAAAAAGCCCCAAAAGAAGAAGTCCAGAAGTTGCACAAGAATTTCTTCAATTATAACACTCTCAACCACCACTTTGCTAGCCGATGGGAGGAAGACCTACGGAAAGAGGAACATGAAGCCTTCATCTTCTACTGGTACAACAAATTTATTATTTGTACCAAGTCAAATAAATGTTTGATCGAAAATATGCCAGTGGCCGAAGCCCTGGCCAGTGGTCACACCCTAGCTCTTAGCTTGGCCATCCTTGCCAACCTTATGCATTGCTTGGCCAAAGCGCCCGTCACCAAAATTGACCCGCACCAAAACAGCCCACTCTAGGTTTTCTAACTCTGGCTGCAAGTTTACTTCGCCACCCTAAGACCAGAAATCCCCAGCTCCAAGACCACTGAAGTGCTGGGTCTCCAATTGGCCTCTAGATCAGTTCATTCTCACTCGGCCAAAGAAGTCTTCAAGTACTTCTTCGGCCTAGAAGATCTTTCTAACGACGAATTCTTAGTATGCCGTTGTCAAGAGTACCCTTCTTCCATCAATCATCCATCCTCGGCATGAGATGAGACCAAAGATACCGCTCTTCGACAAAACTAGGGGGCACTCGTGCTAACTCGGGACTTTCCTCCCGACTGTGATGCTTGACGGGCGAGTTGGGAAGTTTACCACCTTCACTTTACTGCTCGGCAACTTGGCTACCTACAAAGATGCCATGTGCCTCTACTCACCTCCCAATCTCTTCTAAGTCGAGAACGTCTATCTGGTTCGTCAGAAAGAGAGTGTAGAGAGGCCGAGCGAGAATTTCAAGAAAAGTGCTCGAAACTCCACCTTCGGCCGAATGTCCCTGAAACTCAGAGCACTAGCACTTTTGCTGATTGATGGGACACATACATCCAAGAATTCTTTGGCACATCGGTTGAGGATGCTGTCAAAAACATTTTCGGCGATGGTCCAAAGAAAGCTCCCGCCCCAAAATTCAAAGAAGCGACCCAAGGTATACGTCCTTTATTTATTTTTGTCTCACTTAAGACTATGATCCTAACTTGAGTTTATTTTCAATGGGTCGTTCAATAAAGCAGGCTGACACGGCCACGACGGTTGCAACCAAAAAGAAGCTTGCTCCTCTAAAGAAAAGTGCAACTACTCAGGCTCATGCGGCATCTCTTACTCCAATGGCGGCGACTATTGTTCTAGTCACACCGAGCAAACGGCCTTGCCCTGAGACAATAATTGCTGGAAATGTTGCCCCACCCCAAAAATGCATTAAAAAGAAAGCATAGAAGGGTGAGCAAGAGATTCTTGTGATCTCAAGTCAAACCACAGGGGCAATTGCTCATAGCGTTTCTCTCCCTCCTTCTATTGTTGAGGCCTTAACGAAAGAGCTGCAAAATACTCAAATGGATCAGGCAACTCAAGTGCAACCTATTTTTCTAGCCGTGGTCGAACCAATCATCGCTCCATTGGTCAAGGGTCCTGTCGCTCCGAGGCTAACTGTTACTCATGATGTCGGTTCAGTAATCGTTGCTGTTGAGAAAGTGACAACTCTGGTCAAGAAAAGCCCTCCTCCAAATCCAAAAAAGAAATCAATAATCGTCGTGGAGAAAGAGGTATGACCATTTTTGTTAGCAATTTTCCTTCTCTACTTAACTGGACCGCCCACTAATAAACAACCTTTTTTCTATCTAGGAGGACAAGAGTGAAAAACCCTTGTTGATGAAGTGCCACCCATTATTCCTCAGTTGGTGGTCGAAATGGCGGGCCAAGTCAACCCTCCTGCTGCCAAAGCAAACATGGGGCATGAAGCGGTACCTACTGTCGAGATGGAAGCGACGGCAGATACGCTGATTCATCCCTAAGATCAGAATTTCATCATTCCTCCATAGGAGGTTACTTCGGCCTTTGTAAGAACCTTCATTATCCTTCTATTAACTTCTTGCTTTAGAATTCCAAACCAAAAATATTAAATGTCAGGTGCCTATTTACTCGTTTCATCAAAAATTCTATGTTGAATTGTGTTATCTATATTTCCTGGCCACTTCAGTGGTCGTCGAACATAGATAACCTTCATCGGCCGCATGTATTAGGAAGCAATCTTAAACACTGGGCTCAACCTTTAAGCTTTCTAGGTTTGAGCAATGAACCATGAGACATGGCCGAAGTCTCATCTCGACAGGTCTAAAACAAATTCTCTCTACTATCTTCTTTACAATTTTCCTTTTTCCTAAAATCTTTTCATGTGCAGCCTTCCAGGGAAGTCAAGTTCAACATTCTCCTCTCGAGTACTTCTGGAGTAGCCAGGTCATCTGCCCCGTCGACCGAACCTTCCGCAACCGCGGCCGAATCCAATGCCTTGGCCAAGTTGCAGGAACTCCTATCTTTTTCGGCCTTACAAGTCTTTCAATGTAAAGGCCTCGACTCTGTAGGAGACTGCTTGAACGATCTTGTAGCAAGTGGTTTGCTAAGCACGAAAGTGTTGTCCACTTATCTAATATCCTGGAGCAGACCCGGCAATACTTTACTTCTTTTGAAAGGGCTCTTCAGGCTGAGAACGACCTAAAGGTTGCAAAGATCGCTCATGAAGCCAATCAGCCAGAGGTTGAGACCATAAAAGCAAAGAAAACACAGCTGGCTGACCTTGATCATCAAATTACTGAGCTTTAATGTCAAATTGCCAAACGGCAAAGGTCGGCCATTGCTTCGAAATCCGAAAAAGATTTTGAAGCGAATAAGGCTTAACTAATAGACTTCGTGGCTGGCACAAAGCAGATACATCAACTTCAACTTGATAAAAGAACAAGGCAAGCCGAAGTCACAATGGGTGAAGTAAGATGGTTGGAACTAAGGGCCGCTCTTGAAGCTTTCCTTCCTTTGACCCTTTAGGATTTTGTCTTTAGTAATCAACTGTTGGAATCTTTTGTAACTTCACTTGTACGACCTTTATTGCAAAATTAATCAAACGAAACTTTTATTCTGGCATCTCCCAAGTGACTGGATAGTATTTCTTTAAAAATTTCCCATTGATTAGTAGCTTATGAATTAGACTGGTTCGATTTTTAAAGTGTTAAGCCCCCCTGCCAAGAACTTTATGGACGACGAACGGTCCTTACCAATTCGGCGACCATTTCCGGAATCTAGGATATTTGATTCCTAGGGGCAACACGGTTTGCCACACTAACTCTCCCTCGCCGAACGTTTTTTGTCTGACTCGTTGATTATAGGCTTGCTCGACAATCTTTTTCTGTGCCACCAATAAATTATAAGCATCAAGCCGAACTTCCTCTAAGTCTTCTAACTCTTGTCTCATGGCCTGGTTATATTCGACACTGAACAAACTACTTTGCTCAATTACTTGCAACGAGTTTATACTTAACTCGACTGGTAACATCGCGTCGTGTCCATAAGTCAATGTATATAGGGTCGTCCCGGTTGTTGATCGGAATGAGGTTCGATATGCCCATAAAGCCTCGTTTAACTTCAAATGCCACATACCAGGCTTTTCTTTTATCATTTTTTTTCAAGAATGCCGATCAACACTTTATTACTTGCATCGACCTGTCCATTTACTTGTGGGTAATACGGCATGGATTGTTTGAGTCAGATTTTCAAGTTTGTCGTATATTCTTTGAACCATTCGGCTGTAAAGATCGTGCCATTGTCAGTTATGATCATTTCTGGTACCGAATCTGGTCACGATGTTTTCTTCTACAAAATTGCAAACTTCCTTGGATGTCAATTCAGCGTATGATTTTGCTTCGACCCACTTAGTGAAGTAGTCAGTTGCCACAAGTATGCATGCATGTTTTGCTGTTCCAGAAGATGGTGTAATTTTACCGTTACATCCATGGCCCATCCTCTGAACAGCCACGGTTTGGTGACCTAGTGGAGTAAGGAACACGTCTCAGCCTTCGGGTTCTAGAGCCTGAAGACAAAGCTACTAATCTTACGAAGTTCACGGATCGTCGGCGCCGGGTTCGGTCACGGTGACTAGACCTGACATTCGTGTTGTGTTTCTCGTGTTTGTGTCGTTTTCATGTCATACCCGATAATTTAATGGGTCGTGTCGTGTAATATCCGTTAAAGTAAACGGGTAATATGGCCCGACCCGAAATCAACCTGTTAATATTACCAGGTAATATGAGCTGACCCGTTACCTGTTAAGAAAAATATATTTTAAATCAATAAAAATGAAAATGAAAAACATAATTTGATCCAAAAAAATGTAAAACATAATACTATATTTGTATATACATACTAAATTTTGGAGTTGACCTCTTCATGAAAGTTGTAAAACCTTTTATTACGAGTGATTACATTTTTCACACTTCTACTATAATTATTATTAATTTTATTAATTTTGCACTCAAATAAAAAACATTGTTCATGAGATTTGGAGGGTTTTAAAAACCTAAACGAATATGTAACCATTATCTAAGCGTTGAGAATGCAATTATGAACGTTTATTATGCTTTCACATTTTTTAGACTTATACATTAATGATTATGAATTTTATTTATTTTGAACTCCCTTAAAAATACTATTTATGAGGGTTTGTATGGTTTTAAAAATTCAAACAATCATATACCCATCCTCAAAGTGTAGAGGATGCGACTACGAGAGTTTGCATATTTTTCGCACATGTAAATTAATTATTATATGTTTTTTTAATGTGTTTGGTATTTTTAAATTACTTGATATTTTTATTTTTAATGTGTTTTATGATTTTTAATCTCAATCTTTGCCAATAATATACTATAAAAATAAATAAATAAAACTTAAATTTTAAAATTTATATAGAATAATAATTAATAAATAATATATACATATTCATTATATTTATTGTATTTTATATTAAGTTTTTTTTAGTAGTTTAAAAAATTAAAATCGTCAAAATAACTTTTTTCTTATGGTGTCGAAACAGGTTACCTGCGTGTCACTTTTATGTAAACCTGTTAAGGACCCGTTATTAATGGGTTATTATCGTGTGACCCGATAATGATCTGATTAGTTATCATGTTGACCTGAAACCCATTATATTCGTGTCGTTTACATGTCATATTAACGGGTCGTGTAAGAAATTGCCAGGTCTAACGGTGACTATATTTATGAGAGTATAACCACGCCGAACTAGCACCAAGCTATACGGACACAAGTACTTGAAGGAGATGTATGTCTTAATGGTGAATGTGGTTCAGCCGTCAAAATGCCGAATTCTAAAACGTACTTGTGAATATCCAATCATAAACAACTCGGCATTCAATATGCCGAGCCCAATAACTTATGACACCTCACTTCGTCAAGAAGCCTAATAAGATGACCTCTGTCAATAAGGACTCGAAAATCTTTCTTGACCGAGACTTGGATAGATAACCAGTCAACCTCGACGCAGTGCTGTTTATCCAAACTAAAGGTGCTCCGCGGTCGGCTGATTTTACAGCAATAGTGCTGTTTATCCAAACTGAGGATGTCACCGATTGTCTTCACAATGCTATTTATCCAAACTGAAGATGTGTTGGCGGAAAAATAAAAATCTCAAGGTTGTTGAGAGGTTTCGCGTAGAGTGAGAGTTTGTGCAGGGCAGTTTGTGTGTTGAATTGGAGGGAGCTCGAATGATAAACTCCCACTTCAATTTATAGCAGTGAACCTACTCTTGGTTGAGTTAGAACCACACTCGGATTAGGACTCCTTATCCTGATCTAACCAGGACTCGGCTAATCCTAATTCAATTGGGACTTTGAACCCGCCTCCATAATGAACCAGATTCATTCCTTGACTCTCAGTGCCTTCAGTTCTAACACCCCTAGTGGTATAAGGATTCAACCTTCATCTTTATCCAAATCAATCCTTCTCGCAAAAGAATTCGACCGAAACCAACTAGACAACTCCTGGTGCCTAGCCGGCCCATGATACCTCGGAAGATTGCTAGACCAAGAGTCTCGGCCCATTTTGTTACTCTCAGCCCAAATTGTCATTTTAGGCCCAAATAGTTATATCTTGCTGCAATAATTCCTTCGGCTGTGAATTATATATGCTGGGTTCTCACTTGCAGTACCTCATCATGGCTCCTTGGGTCATTCACAGCACATTATTGTTCATGGTGAATGATGGAAAAGATAAAGATATAACTTACTTCTTTATATTTCCGCTTATGATTTGGAGGATGATCCACAACCAGATATGGATCACTCTTTCTAGACATCGAATAGCAAATGGCAATGGTCGAATTCTTGACAAGGGTCTTGAATTCGATCAGGTTGACAGAGAAAGAAATTGATTGGTGCATTGGGATTCCATTTACATTTTATGTTCCGTAAATTTAATTCCATACTTTCCCAATTTCCTTTTGCTCGAGCCCATCTCGACACCTCCCGAGTAATATCCCAACACACAAATATAAAAATCGAGACAAGAGTTATGGCTCGGCAAGTTGTTCATGAAGGCATCTCGAGCAATGAAGACTAAGCAAAAAGTATGAATGCGAGGGTTAATTAAGTCTTCTCACCCGTGCTAATAGTTTTATTCATATGGTAAACTGCCAATTTTCCCTTTGAACTTTCATTGAGTTTTTGATTTTCTCTCTAAACTTTTCAATTACAATATTAAGAACTCAAACTAATTTCTGTATCAAATGGGAAGACAAATTTTACATGTAAAAATTCTCAAAGCATGTATTTTGCTTTTACCTCAAACATGACGAACTTCTAAAAAATTTAAAAAGAGGCGGAAAAGTCTTTTTCGAACCTCTCAAGAAAAAGGTTTTTTTTTTTTTTTTTTTTTCCTCCAAAATTTTCCGTTTAAACCTGTCTTTCTAGACTAAATTTTTATTTTGAACTTTTTATTATGCATACTAGCAATTTGTAAACATGCGATGATACAAGTTTTAAATAAAATTACAGTTTTTCTTTGATTATTTAAACTAGGGTGAACTATCAATTTAGTCTTTGAATTATCACTTGAGTGAAAATTAGGTTCCTAAATTATTATTATTTTAGAAAAATCAATCCTTGAATTATAAAAATATGCCAATTACATCCCTAATATTAGATTCAAAGCTAGTATATTCAATTTTTAGTCAATTTAAATCACATTACTTGCATGTGATACACATTGCATGGTAGATTAGAAAATTTTCATAAAGAAATAGTGTAGGGACTTAATTTTGGAGGGTAAATTAGACGTTAGATTCGCAACCTATGTGAAATGTTAAGGGGTTATAGGCAAGAGAAAAAACGGTATTACACTCTAAAGTATATCAAGTGACTTAAGTTGACGAAAAAATTAATCAGAGACCTAATCTTCACTGAGGTGATAATTCAGGGACTAAATCATCACTTCACCTTTTAAACTAATATCAAAATCATTTAACATAAAATTGACGTATTAGTGATTTCGCTCTCTTTCATTAACAAAAAGGGATCTCTTAATATATCTCTTAATATAATTAGTATATATAGACATTCAAGATTAATAATGTTTCTCATCGAATAATTAACCTTTATTTTAGTATCCAAGTATAATATACGTATGTTCAATACGATAGTGTACCTAATGAAATGAAAAAATTAATCAAAACTTAATCCCAACATTCTGAGTGCAATGAATAAACAATTTGATCTAAAATTAAAAGATCTAACTAACCCTATTTGTTACGGGGATAACCAAATATTATTCAATGGAACCCTATTGTACCTCGCCAACCGATTTTTCCCTGGGGCTCAAAAGATACCACCTTGGAGGACAGACGGGGTTGTTTCAGCAGTTCTACTTCATGCTGGTCAGGTGGAGTACCTCTACTATTGGTTTCACAGAGTACTTCACCATCATTACCTCTACTCTCGCTACCATTCTGATCACCATTCCTCAATCGTTACCGAGCCTATTACTTGTAAGACTGCTACCCCATATCATTTCATAACCTCATCATTATTTTTTAACGTTGGACGATAAATTTTGACGATCATAATATAATTTTGTAGAACATAACGGTACCAGTACCCAGTTTTTAATGGATATATTGTGTGTGTGTGTGTGTTTATTTTCCTTAACAAATGATATTATTTACATTAAAGGAAGATGGTGGGTTTAATCTCACAATGGACTAGTAATAATGGATATAATATATATATATATATGTGTTGTGTTGTGTCTATGTAATCTTGCTATTATATTGCAGCTGTGATAATTCACCCATTTGCGGAGCACATGGTATATTCCTTGGTCTTCTCAATACCAATGCTGGCAACTGTCTTCATGGGAACAGTGTCTACCGTTTCCTTTGCTGGCTATATTACTTATATTGACTTCATGAATAACATGGGACATTGTAAATTGGAAACGATGCGAGTTGCTTCCAAACTTTTCTCAAGTATTGTATCATCTTTGGATATGTCATCGTGTGCATTCCTGAGTCTTGATTGGTGTTTAGCTAAGAATTTGAATGGATTGCAAGCTTTTTCACTACTAAGTCTTTTTGCTAGCCGGGTGACTACTGGTAAAGCCTCATACTCTGCTTTGTCGTTAGATGCTTTGAAGTTAGGACGTTGTTGGCTTGATTGACACGACGGAGATCTGCGGGGAAAGCTTAGCACGACTGGGAGTCGTGGTGCATAATAGGCATGTCTAATAGTTGTGGAACTAGGGCATTGTGATGCATAGCAGGAAGTGGTGCTCAATTGCTGGTGTAGGGCCGCTTTAGGGCTGAGTTGCATGCAGTAGGAAACGGTTTTCAACTTCCGGTGTTGGGTTGTTCCTATGTAGAATCTCTTGAGGTGACGTGGACAAGACCTGTTTCCGATGCCTGGTGGTTAGAGGAACTTTTCTATAGGTTGGGCTGGTATATCCTTTTATTGTTTGTCTACCCCTAGCATGCCTTCTCACACTTATCGTCTTATTCGTCTTACTTCTCATTCTTAATTGCCTTGAAAAATGGGATTTCAATTGTCGGTGAATTGCAAGGGAAAATGGTTAAGTATGGCTGCTTATCTGGTCAGACCTTGGATCTCCTTCAAAGTAGTTGGGGACTTGATATCCTGGATCGCTTGGATCTGCTTTAGATGTGCACGTAGAGAAGTTAAGCTTCATTTTGTACTCCCCTAGGATGTTGAATGCCTCTGCCAAATTGTTGATGTGGTTTGACAACTGCTTAGGGTCAAGAAAAATGTGCTTACGTCTTCTTCGTGTTCCTATCTTGACTCATCTACTAGAGGATCGTCCTGGACACCATTTTCTTGCCCTGCCTGCTTTGATTGTTATTTAGTTATTGGGTCGTCCTTCTGCACCTCAATGGCTTCTACTGGGATAAATGACTTCTTATTTGACGTCTTCAGAAGTTGCACAGTGCATCGTAGGATGCAACTTGGTCTAACTTGATTTCTCTGACTTATCCTCTAGGGATGCAAAATCGAATTTTCTAGTACTCAATAGAGATTATGACGCCTAGTTTCACTAGCCAGGGTCAACCTAGAATCCTGTTATAGGGTGACAAAACTCTGACTATTGTGAACATCTGCTTAGAGACAACTAGTGGTGTTCTAATGTCGAGTGTTATATAGTTGATGGCAATCGAGGTGTGACTGTTCAATCTAGTGATTACCTCGGTTCGGTGTCTGATCGTGCTCTCTAGACCCATTTCTGAATCACTAAAGGCTGAGGAGGTTAACTGTGTTTCCATTGTCCACCATCATTTTATTGACTATGGCATATGCTAGTTAGACAGTTATCACTAGGGCATCGTCGTTGAAGAATGATCCATACACTTGCATATCGGTTTGTTCTTGTTGTTGGACTACTTATGGTCTGCTTTTTAAATGTTGGGTTGTTTGTTGTATTGTAACGTCCAACAATGTTAGCCTCCTCCGTCTTAAACCTCTTGGCACAGTTATGGAGTGTCTCATCGGTGGTTTCAATGCGCTACTTCCTTCTAGATCTTTATTCGTTGAGGTAGCAAAGCCTTCTATTGCCCCCACAAGTGACCTACAGATCTGTGCTGCTCTTCTTGTGTCCTACTCGTTCTTGTCGCGGTTGAAATACACGTCATTCGTTTTTTGCTGGCGCGCTTGCTGCTCGTGGTTGCACTTGGTCATAAAATGGAATTGAACTTGAGCTTAAGCATTTTTACTTCCTTCTGAACATACTTCCATTATAGTGATGAAGCCTTGATTGCCTCCAACGGTGGTTTGTAGGTTTGTGTTGCTTCTCTCAATGACCTGCTTGTTTGTGTCGCGACTGCGTTATACATGGTTCGTCTCTGCCTAGCGAGCGGGTTGCTCGTGGCTGCACTAGGCATTGAGTGCCAATTGAGCTTGAGCTTGAGTATCCTCGAATTTCTTCTTGTTCCATGTACTGCGTGCTCTGGTATAAGGTAGAAGGAACTCCCTGCAAGCCATGTTATGAGTGAGCACTGTGTTGGATTCGGGTCTTGAGTGTTTGCCTGAATGTAGATCCAACTGTGGATGTGCACTCATCTTCTAGCCTTTTAGAGAGATGGTCTATTTCTCAGTGCACTAAGTGGGAGAAAATGTTTATGCGTGGACCGATAATGGAGTGCACGCTGCCTGAAAGCCAGTTCATAGCTGGTTGAGCGGCTGCTTATCGGGATGCCTTTGGAAAGAATATTGTCATCACATTCCAACTTACTTCGGGACACCTCGTCAAAAGTGCGCTGCTTGTTGATGTGCTCAAGGAGTGGGTTTGCCAAAGTGGATTGCTGCGCGAAGGCGTTGGTCAAGTTCGTAATCTGTCAGTACATCTCCATGAGTGGTGGAAGTGTAATGGACGTCAGGTAAGAATTTTGAGCTTCAACGAGCCAAATCTGCATAAAAATAGGTTAACAACATCATAAACGAGTTTAGATCGCCAAAAAAACTGCTAAAACGGTCGTTGAAAATTTTTTTGTTTCACCGATGGACCAACCAGTCCAGTCAGAATCTGTCTGGGCATAAAAAAAGTGCAGATCCAGGTCCCTAGGTCGGGCTGACCTGCATGGCTACAAGCTGAAGCACCTAGGCCTGTGGGTGCGCTCTCGGATTTTCTAAAATGGGCTTCCTGCTTGTTGAGGCTTAGGCCCGCTGCTGATCTTATGGGTTTCTGCATGGGCCAACACCTTGGCCTATTCTAAAGGCCTGTTTTTTGGACATTGGCCAGCTTATGGCTTGGCTGAGCCCCTTATAGCTTAAGTCGCATCACTGAAGCTGTTGTAGGATTTCTCCGTCGGCCTTATGGCACTGGGCTTCGCTGTTGGGCTAGTGGCTGAAGGTAGTGGGTTGCCCTATTATGCTACAGGTGACTCCAGCAAGTGGTGGGTTTGGTTTTGGAAGGTTGGGTCATCTCCTGGACGCCATGCCTGATGCAACTTCCTTTGGAATTTTCTCCTAGATTATAGATGTGGCTGCCTCATGGCCTTCTCCTCAGGTGGTTGTTGCTGCAGCGTTTTGGGGAGCAATGGTGGTAGTTGTTATGAGCTGTCCCACGGGCCATTGCATGGTTGATGTCGCTGCTGTCATGACCATGGTGGTACTCTATTGAGTATACACTTGTGCATGACCTGCGAATACATCTCGTTTAGTGATGTGACATTAATATTTTGGATTTCGGTCCCAGTGCAATGATAGCCTGCGTGGATTTGTCATGGCTAAATAACACAGTTCTAAAAATCTCCGTCTAGCGCCACCTAGACCCCGCCTAGGCGCTAGGTGGTTGGTCACCGCCCCGATTAATGGCTAGGCATTTGAAAATTAAGAAAGGGCATCTAGACCTATTGAGGATCCCGCCTAACCCGCTAAGACCCTCATAGGTTGCGACTCAGACAAAAAATATATAACTTTCATTTTGCATTTTATTTTTTTTCAATAAATTTTAAGGGACTTGTTGGATACTTAAATGAACACACATTTTATGTTTTTTTTTTTCTTTCCATGTTTTCATTATGTTCCAATAGCTCATAATATATATGTCATTATATTTTGTAGTTTATGGTGAAATTATATTTATTTTAAGAATAAATAGACACTTATTTACATAAAATATAATAGATTTAATTAAATCCACCTAGATGCCCCCCTAGACCATGCCTAGCTGCCTAGCCACCTAGGCGCTAGGCTTCAGTCCGTCTCCCGACTAGCGCCTAGCGTCATTTAGAACCTTGCTAAATAATAGTTCGGCAGTAGGATTTTTTATTATATACACACACACACACACACACAATGAGATATTTACACTAAGAGGTAAGGGAGTAAATCGGTTTCGAACCTGTCATTCATGAGATTCGAACCTAAATCATCTTAGTTACAAGTGAAAAGAAATACTACAAGATCATAATATTAAGTGATGATAACATTTTTTTTTTTAATGATAAATGAACATATGTTTTTGATACTACAAAACCATAGTACCTTACAGTTGATAAATTGTTAATAATTTGACCAAAATAAAAAGTGTTGTATATATATCACTGGTATTCCATTCACCAGACTCTTCATCGGCCCTCGCCATTACAAACAGATTTACTCCCTTAGGATCAACAGTAGGAAATATCCGACCAAACTACCAAACGGCCTTAGCCACCCCTTATGATCCCTACTCTTCAGTTCGTTCTCCAGCTCCTTCACAACCCAAAACACCTAGCTATGCTAAAACCTCTCCATATATCCAAAACCCCACTACTGAAAAGCTTTTTTGCATACCTCTTGACATTGATAAAAATCAACCTCCAGAACGCATTGCTAAATTGCTTCTGCCCCCAAATTCTCATTATCTCCCAGCAGCACCATACAAAAGCCTCAAATACTACCAGGCCATTCTCTCTGAGACCAAAAGCATTGCTATTAAGCCAATCTATAGCACCACTAACCAAAATAAAATTTTATACCATTCACTTCATATTGGAAAATTTCTCATTGAGCAAGATTGGGGTCTCCCACTTTATCATACCAAACCCCTTCACACCCAGCATGTTCTCATACCAAACAACAATTATAATTATTATGATTACATTCAAGCTTGGACTAATATTTTTCTTCATCAGACGGAAGATTTTAGTCATTCATGGTTCGTGACTTTTGATAAAAGTTTCAGAATGAGATTCCCAGCATGGTTTCCAGACTGGTGGGCTACTCATGGCCCAAATATTTCCCTTGTTCCTGATGATCTTCGTCAAGCACTAAACAATAGTTTCAAGACTGGTTTTGACCGTAGCCGTTTTGACAGCAGGGTTTCCCTATTCTCTCTATTCATGGCCAAATACAGAGTTCCATGGATCTTAAAATGGAATTTCCAGTTAGACAATGGAGGAATCTTCAGGGCCCGGTGGGTAAAATGGTGGGACAAATTCAATCACCAGAAGATTCTTGATCTAGTTCGTGCAGATTTTCCCCAAAGTTCAACCCCAGCAATTGCTGCATCTCCCTCGCAGGCCTTGCCAGACACTCAGCAATTTCCTGAGCTCCCGAGACCTCAAGAACCAGTTCAGTCTCTATCAGACATTAGTCCATCCTCCTCCCTCAAAGGAAAGTCCAAGTCAGCCAAATCCTCTAGCTCAAAGAAAGAAAAATCTGCAAAGACTACCCAGCTTCTGGATATGGCCCATCTGCTCATGGCTGAAGCAGCAATGCTACAAAAAAGAAAAGGTTCAGATTCGGACTCTGACGCATCTGATGCCTCATCTCAACTTCCCTCCAAATGGGCAGATCAAGCAGATCTTCAAGATGCCCAAGATCCGTTTGATTATTGAACTGCATTTTTGCCCATGTGATTGTGTCAGCCCAACAACATCATCAGCAGTAGCTGTTATCATCCCTTTCACAAAAGACAAGGCATTATTCTTCAATAGTGAAATACAAAAAGGTCACTATTCACAAATAGTGAAAAACAAAAAGGTCACTATTCACAATAGTGAAAAACAAAAAGGTCACTATTCATTTAACTTTTGTAAAAGAATCAAAGCATCTTCACTATTCATTCAGCTTTTGTAAAAGTATCATCGTGACTCCACAGTAAAGGTTCTTCAGTCAGTCAGCGGGATTCCCGGATCCATTTGGCAAGCCTCATTCAGTCTCCTCGCTCTATATAAGGAGGACTTATCTTCAGAAGAAGCATATAGTTTTTTAAACACTCTCTGCGTATTCGCAAGAACAGAGAATATTTCCAAACACTTGTAATACATATATTATTCAGGATGCCTGCGAGCTCCACCTTGTTTACTTATTTCATCTGCCATTAGGCAATACCTGTTTGTAATCTGCATTGCAGTAAGTTTTCAATAAAACTTATTTTCAAAAATATATTTGCATCATTACATTGAATTCATTATTTTCTTTATATGCTTTACTTCCGCACTCTGAATTATATGGAAGGCTATGCCTCCTGCTGCTATT